TCTTGTTCTCTCTTTCCTCTTTTTCCATTCTTTTTTCTCTCTTTCTCTCTTTTTCTCTTTCTCTTTTTCTCTCTTTGTTTCCTTCTCTCTTTCTCTCTTTCTCTCTTTCTCTCTTTCTCTCTTTCTCTCTTTCTCTCTTTCTCTTTTTCTCTCTTTCTCTCTTTCTCTCTTTCTTTCTTTCTCTCTTTCTCTCTTTCTCTTTTGTTCTCTTGCTCTTTGTCTCTTTCTCTCTTTCTCTCTTGCTCTCTTTCTCTCTTTCTCTCTTTCTCTCTTTCTCTCTTTCTTTCTTTCGCTCTTGCTCTTTTGCTCTCTTTCTCTCTTTCTAGTTTTCTCTCTTTCTCTCCTTCTTTCTTTCTCTTTTTCTTTTCTTCTCTTTTTCTCTCTTTCTCTCTTTCTCTCTTTCTCTCTTTCTCTCTTTCTTTTTTTCTCTCTTTCTCGCTTTCTCTCTTTCTCTCTTTCTCTCTTGCTCTCTTTCTCTCTTGTTCTCTTTCTCTCTTTCTCTCTTTCTCTCTCTCTCTTTCTTTGTCTCTTTTTTTTTTTCTTGCTCTTTGTTTTGTTGTCTCTTTGTTTTTTGTTTCTTTGTTTTTGTGTTTTTTTGTGTTGTTGTTTCTTTATTTTTGTCTCCCTCTTTCTCTTTGTCTCTTTGTTTTTTTCTTTGTATGTTTGTGCATTTTTGTGTGTTTGGTGTTTTCCGTGTTTATGTGTTTTTTTGTGTTTTTGTTGTTTTTTGTTTTTTTATTTTTTTGTTTGTTTGTTTTTGTTTTGTTTGTTTTGTTTGTTTGTTTTGTTTTTTTGATTGTTTCTTTGTTTGTTTTATATATCTTTGTTTATTTAGTTATTTGTTTTGGTTGATAATATATTTTTATTTGTTAATCTTTATATAGATTATTTTGGATGGTATTCGAATATAGGTACCTTATTTAGTATAATATTATTATTATTTTCTTATATTATATATAAAATTATGTTTTTACAATTCTATAAATAATTATTTGTATTTTTAGATTATGATTGAGAGGAAATACATAATTGGTAATAATTATATAAATTAAAAATTATATATTTTATATATTTAATAACTATTTATATAATGAATAATTTAATTATTTAATTGATATTATAATTAATAATAATTTATATGGTTTTATAGAAATAAATATATTATATTTAAATATATTTTAGATATTTAATATAATTGTATTTGATTAAGATTTGACTCGAACTATCTCCGAGTTTATTTGATTATCTCTAAATATATTTATATTTGTTATATTAATTTGCCATATTTGTTTATATTATTTGTTTCGTTAGATATTCTTTTTTATAGAAGGATATTGCTTAACAAAATTTTCTTAGTCGTATCGAAATTAATCTCGTATAATCTGGGTATTTTAATTATTTTGAAGGCGTATTATAATTTTGTATAATAGAATTTCTTGTAATATGTTTGGTTGTTTATAATTATTATTATAAAGATATTTGTATTTATAATATTATTAATTACATAGATATGTTGGTTTTTATTTCCATTTAATTTCTTATAATCTTATTTATAATATATCGATAATAATATATAATTTATATCATTTTATCGAGAATTTCTGAAATTCTATTTAAAGATATTCATAATTTTTAATAATATATATCCATTATATATAAATATATATATTATATTTAGCGATATTTAGATTAAATATATTTCTATCGAAATTAATTTTATATATCTCAAAGATCTTAATTTGGTAATAATTTAATATATATATATATAATATTGAAAATAATTTAATAAAATATATATTTATTTAAATATATTTAATTACAATAATTATATTAGTTTATAAACTATATATTATATTAAAATATTATATATTATTAATATTATATCAAGAATAATTAATTAATTCTATAGATATTTAATTTATTTATTTTCATAATTAAATTTATTCTATATAATTAATCAATTTAAAATTATATATATCATTATAGTATTCTGTTCTAAAACAATATTTAATATATATTATTATTCATAATTGTTTATATTAAATCCTTTATATTATATGTATTTATAATACTAATTAAATTAAATTAAAAATATGTTTAATTCCCATAGAAATGACCGATTTTATAAACTCTCAAAATATAAATATTTAAGTTCTTCTATTATTTTTTAAATATATTATAATCACTTATATATTTTATGTTCATTTATTATTTCTATATCCCGGTTTTTTTTTCCATAAGATTATATTATTTGATTTATAATTCTCAGATTTATATAGAGGTTAATTTAATTATTCTATTAAACTATTAAAATTTAAATATTATATTATTGAATAAATTAATTTTAAATATAGATATTAATATTCATTATTTTATATATTTTAATTATTTCTCAAATTATATATTTAATTATTTATAATTATTAAAATTTAAAGTAAATAACAAAAAAATTGTCTATATTATTTATATTTTTCTCCAAATATTAAATTACAAAATCAAATACAAAATTCATAACAATTATAATCTTTTCAATAAAATAATATAACAAACATAACATTTTCGCCAAACAATAAATATATTTCATAATAAATACAACACTTTCGTATCCAACTACACTATCTTCAAAATCGAAAAATGAAGTGCGAGAACAATTTTATATATAAAATATATCATTAATGATTTTCTTATATTCCAAATTCTTCCTTAATATTGCCTTCATTTTCTACTAATATTTTTCCATAAAATTCTAAGCAACTAAAATAATCTACCAAAGATATATAATATTCATATTCCATATCAAAAAAAGAAATCAACAACCTCATAACCTTTTACATATATAAATTCACATAAAACACATACTTAAATAAATACATAATATTCATAATTATTCAAACAATATCGATATAATTACATAAAACAAATCTAAAAATCAAAATCATAATTAATAATAACAAAACACTAACATTATAGACAAAAGATATATTAATTCCTAAAAATAATCATTCAAAATGTCGTATTTCTACCCCCCCCTTCCCAAATAATATATAATTCCAAAGTCCCCATCAGCCAGTCAACCCTCAACCAATTATAAACCAACCATAAACCAACATTAAACCAATCTTAAATGCACCCTAAACCAAACCCTAAATCGTAGACCTCTAAACCTAAACCAACCCTAAATCAACATAAACCAACCCTAAACTATCCCTAAACCAATCCCTAAACAATAAACCCTAAACCAACCCTAAACCAACCCTAAACCAACCCTAAACCAACCCTAAACCAACCCTAAATACACCCCAAACCAAACCCTAAACGAAACTTTAAACCGTACACCTCTAAACCTAAACCAGCCCTAAACCAACCCTAAATCAACATAAACCAACCCTAAACTATCCCTAAACTAACACTAAATACACCCTAAATATACACTAAACCAATTCTAAACCAACCCTAAACCACCACAACCCAACCACAGGACCACGACCACAGGGGGGGTGTTGTCTAACCCATGACCATTGTGGTGGGTGGGTGGGGGGGCTAGCAACGCTGTACCATAGATACATCTCGCATGCAAAACAATTAACGTGCCCGACCTAACGCGAAATTAGCGCTACCAACCGAATTTATACAATCTAAGTAAGAGCCCATTTCATTTCGAAAAAAGGAAAAAAAAGAGTGCAACAATAATTATACACATAATATATATAGTTATCTAATCAATATTTTTAAACGGAAACCATCAAATTACAGATTTTTTTATTTTTTTTTTTTTTATTTTTTTATTTTTTAAATAATGTTTAAATATATAATTCAGCTTAATACCTTAAACCTAATTTCTTTAAACCAAATAAACAAAAATAAAAATACAATGAAAAATGCTAACTTACTATACTCTCTAGCCAATCTCTATCATCACCCATCCATTCTCAAGGGTTTGTATTTTTTAGCTTTCTATATCTCCAATTCCATACCCATTCGATTTGCTCATGCGTTTTCTTTTATCAACAATCCCCCACCTATCCGTTTCTAACCCGGGTGTTAGGGGCAATTTGAAGCCCCGGTGCAGGTAGCTGTTTGTGGGCTACCAGACGCCAGGCGCAATTTTGCAAGAACGACGGCAAGGCTAGGGGGCATAGGGGTGCTAATGCAGGTGCTGCTCCGGGGCCCCTTTTCAAAGCATTCCTTCAACCTATGCCAATCTTCAAACACCTATGCTGCCCATACAAATAGAGCAAACAAGACATTGAAGACTTTTGTTCTCTCAATTCCACACCAAGAAGCCTCTCAATTCTACACCCAAAAGTCTCCCTGAATTTAATATGATCTAGTCTATGCTAATGTAATTCTATGATCAACAAGCAGAATGGTTTTCCTAACTCCCAAGAGTGAACGGGTCTTATGTGTAGGCCCAACCATCTTGGCTCAAGTTTACGTGCTTTGGCTTGCTGGCTGCCGCAAGTTGCAACAACTTGCAACAAGTTGCACTTTGGCAGCTATATACTTTTGTATTTGTGTTTATGTTTGTTGTGTCACATGGGACACTTGAGCAACACATTGCATAATCGAATGCATAAAACATGCCTGCAAGCAAGGACGCATGCAAGCATCCATGCAAGTATGCATGTAGAGATGCATGCAAGACAGTATGCAAACAAGAAGGATACACGCATATGTGCAAGGAAGCAAGCATGCATAGAAATATGCATCATATTCACGCTTCGAGTCCAAAGGGGTATCGATTTTGTGAGTCCCCTATTATTCTCCAAGGGAAATACAAAAACAAACAACTGTCTTGGATGAAACACCTTTACTAAAGTGGTCTTGACAATTGTGAGGTATATAACTCGTAATATAAACAATATTAGGGTTGGTTTTGGTTGCGCTGCAGCTGGAGGTTCTGGAATGAGCCGCAAACCATATGTTTATATGTATATATATATATATATATATATTCAATCGAACGACTTTCTCGATTCTGAAGAAATTTGATCATTTTTGTGCTCTCTTGCGCTTGTTGAAGCACGTCCAAGTTCACCCAGGTTCTTTGTCCTCCGCCGAGTCCTTGCTCCTTCTTAGCCTTGGCCTTCTTCACGCGGCACCGGGCGCCTGGCAACCGGGAAAAACTACGCCCGGTTTGCCCGAAGAATGCCACACATCTGGGGTAAGAGCCGTTCAGTCAAGAAACCAAGTTTTGAGGATCAATCAGGTTGGGCGTCTCTTGTAGACTTCTGCAGATTCAAACTACGGCCTACAACCAAATCATATTTTTCCCCGAAAAAAAACTGCTTGTGTTTGACACCCGCCTCATGTACGGGTCATGTCCTTCGACTTCATGCACAATGGCCGCACTGCTTCCGCAAGGAAAGAGCAAAAGCCAGACTTCTTTGGCGGCTCCGTGCTCATCTCGCTGAACGCTTGTGTTGCTGAAAACCCGGCGCTTGGTGCAACGGCAAGGCGGTGACCACAGGCGGCGCAGCGACTTTGGCTGGTGCTGTTTTGCAAAGTGCAGATGGGACACGTCCAGAAGCTCTGCAGCGTTCCCTCTCCAATCCTCGGCTGCCTGCAGGCAGCGCAAGAGGCTTCCCCTGGGGAGTTCTGTAAGGTGCAGTGCCTGCAGATCCAAGACTCCTCCATCTCGGTGATCGCTGGTGAGGTCTTGCCTGTAGCTTTGGGGCCAGTGTGGTCGTTTGGTTCGGCGCAAAGCATGGGGCACTATGGATACACAATTTGAATCCACAATGCCCGATGTTTATACAATATACATTAATATTCCTAGTCTTGTCTTGCGTAGTGCTTCTCTAAATCTTGGCACAGCTCGAGGATGAACTGGGTGTGTCCTCCATAAGACTCCAACACTGGACTTCGGGTTTCCTCTTGCCTTCCCCAACAAAACCAGGCCAAAAAAATATACCCTCAACAAAAAAGCAAACAAACTGGTTTTGCTCTTGCCTTCCCCAACAAACCAGCCAAAAAGCTACCCTCAACAACACATTCTTCGCCTTCCGCGCCTGGTTGGTCCACCACCCGCCGCGTGCGCGAAACCGCCGCGGCGTCGTCGCCGGGCGGAGAAGGCAGCGGCGGCCGGGGCTGGGGGATGGCGAGGCCCTGGCCGCAGGACTCCTCGAGGGTTTCGTCGAGTTGAGTCGAGCAACTCGCGGACTAGGCGGCTTCTCAAAAGAGATTCCAGGTTCACTCGAGCCACTCGGTTTCTCCATTGGTTTCTCCTTTTTGATTCGGTTTCTCCATTGATATGCCTTTAGCAACCAAACAACAACGGGTCTCAAAAGAAACAAACAAAAACATAGAGAGCTATGAATTTGTGAATGGACATGGACTAGATTGCGAGATTGACATGGGGGTTCATATTGGAAACATTGTAGAACTTGGAGCCATGAGCGATGTTGAATATAACATGGAACCACGCGACTGCATTGAATCTACGAATGGTTGGCCAGGTTGGTTCATTGATCCGCTTTATCAACTCATCCATCCGGTTGTACGATCTGCTCCTAAAATAAACTCAAGGTTCCGTTAACACCTGCAGCATGGCCTAAACTTGACGCTATGGACCACAATGCTTGGTCTTGGCTTTTTGAGCTTGACCGGAACCTCGACCTTTTTCCAAACCCCGGCCGAGTATTTGACCTTTTACTTTCCGGTGCACAGGTCGAAAAGAAACGGCTTGGGGGTTGGCAAAAGCGCACAAAAGAAGAGGAAACGAGGACATGTGTAATAGTGGGGAAACTCATATTTACGTATATATATATATATATATATTAGGCCCTTATACATTTGGACCCAAAAGAACCTAAAGTCGGAAATGCAAGCAGATCCCCTTTTTGGGTTTGTGGGTTTCCTTTTGGGGCTTCCCTTCAACTGGTTTGTTTCCTATTATGTGTCCTTTAACTCTTTCAAAGGTAGACGTATGGAAAGCCATAGGCCCATCAACGCAATCATCTTCGGACCTTGGCCATGGCTGAGGGCACCACAACGAAAAAGGAGTAACACCACTTGTTGGTGGTTAGATCTGCACATCAATACGAGTAGCAACCAATGGGTCCAATCACGAGAGCAGTCCTATTCTCATGTCCATTGGCCAACAGGTGGTTCAAAACGTCAAAACCCAGATACTCTTTTTGGGGTAACCCCCACGCTTTTGTTTGGTTCATTTTCAAAGGGAATCTCAGGGCTTGTGGGAAATACCAGGGTTTCGACCCACAGCCAGACGGGTGATGAGCCCCTTCCTCGGACTGCAAAGGTTCGGCGCAAAGGCGCTCGTGGGTCACCGCCAAGGCGCGGTTCCTTGGCCAAAAAGGCCATGACTCACCGAGAAAAACAAAAAAACAACGCGCTTTTTATTGGTGGGTCGCATGTTTTTGTCCTCTCCCTGCAGAAATCACTTTTGTTGTGTTGAGGAGGGTTTTTGTTAGTGGGAAACGCCTGTTTAAGTGGAAAGGTGGGAGAAAGCGGAAGAACGGTGCCTGTAGAAAGTGAGCAAGCAGCACGATTTGGAAACACGGAACACCTATGATTGGAAGGCCAGCAAGGGTCATCTGTGTGTGTAGTTGCTTGACAACCGCCTCCCAAAAAGACACATCTCTCTGAACGTGTCTGCTTTCAGTTCCCCAGCCAATCTTTATCCACCTGTATGCAACAAACCACCAACATGTTGCGTCCCACACTTCTTCACCTGCAACCTCACAAGCTGCTTCAAACCATGAACAACCGACCAGACACAGGATAAAACGTTTTGCAACTAAAACTCGGTACCCTCTTTTGCAATCGCAGAAGTAGACCCTTTGCAAACGTCATAATTAAACCTTGGTTGACGTTGGAAGGGGAGCAACAACTTATATTTTAGCTGTTAAGTGGGGAGTTCCCACTAAACCACAATAAGCAAAAATGTAAAATGTTTCCAGGCAACAACCATGAACCCCTCCAAATTTGGCTTCCAAGGATCTCTGGGGGCCCCTCGCCATCCAATGACACCACCAGCTCCTCTAGCTCCTGCAGCCCGGGGATGCGCCAGTGGGGCCGGTCCTTTTCCCCGCTGAAGTCGAAGACGGCGTTCCACATGTTGCCTCGGCCAATGGAAAGTCGGAGATATCTCGACTCTTTATCCAAGTTTCTCCGATTTGTTGTCGGTTTTTGTTCGAGTTTGTCCGATTTTGCCCGACTGGATCCGATTATCGATTTCCGAAATGCGTACAACATATCACCAATATATACAAGAAGGGAAACCACTAGAATCTGGCATGGTCGCGGGTCACATCAAAGCCCATCTTGTCGAAGTGGGCGCCAGAGCAAGGGTACTTGGCGCACCAGGGAGCGATGGTCAGATCATAGGAGGACTCGATGATGGGCGCCGTCTTGGTGTACAAATAGAAGGTGCAGCGCTTGCAGTCTCTGGTCCGCAGCTGTTGTGCAGCACACCACACCGTGCAGTCTTCGCAGTTCCGGATGGATGCGGAAGATTGGCAGGGGCCCAGCAGGACGCAACTCTTCGAGCAATAGTCCATGAAGACTTGCGCGGAGGTGTCGCAAATGAAGACTTGACAGTCTTCAAGAGCCCTGACAGCCGGCGGCAATGTGAATGCCTTTGCTTCCTGTGTTTGGGCAATAACAAAGCAAAGCTGTGGATGGCAAATTGCTCGCATTGGTGCAAACAGAAACACCCTGGGGTCATTCTGACCAGCAATTCCGTGCACTTTCTGCGAGCTATGATTTCGACAACCGCCGACTTAGCTTGTGCAGCATGCGCTGTCAACGTTGCTGCAAACTGAAGTTGACAAGGTGCCCAGGCTGCAACAGGCAGCAAGACTTATACAAATTAGGAGCGCTTCACTGTCAAGACCAACATGCTCCGAAACAGTTGCAACTCACAGAATAGACTTAGCAATTCTCCAGTCAGTGCCAAACCTGCAAAGGCCCCGCAATGCTGCTACGTTCAAACAGCTATTGTGGAAGGCATCGCCTTCGACTAGATTGGTCTTCAGTCCCCCACAAGTGAACTAAAACTGTTTATTTTCTCTGGTCAAACAGTCCTTTTCCAGCGTCAAGTTTTGAAGGTAAAGCCAGACCAAGTTGGCCTGTCTTTTGTTTGGGGGTCCCCCAAAAAAATAAAAAAAATACTGTTGGCTTCCCTTAAAACCCACAGAACCGGACCGGAGGTACCCCCCAAAGAAAGGGAACCACTAAGTCAACTCCGGCCAAGGCTCTCGAGGTTCACCTGTTGACCGTGCAGCGAGCCAGGCTTGCGGATAATGAGCTCCCCAGAGCGCTCGGAGATTTGGAACCTGCTCCAAAGCCCAGCGACTCGAATGTGAACTTCGGATTATCTCCGGAGTTAGAGAAATCCCCCGCAACAAATGGGATAATCTCCTTAGATGGGGTCCGCCTCCCCGACTAGTACCAAGGCTTCGTTTCATGTCTCCCGTTTTATGCTATTCCGAAATGCCTAGGTGTGATTCACATCTGGCGCAAGAAGTATACGCTCCTTGCAACCTGCTTCACCCGCAACTTCAGGGGTTTATACCCCTCGGACTTTACCAAACTGAACGCATGTCTACTCTCCACTTCCCTTTCTGGCATCTGAGTGCAGCCAATGGGCGGATTCAAGTGGCTGAAGCTGCGAAGAAGGCCTTATGCGCAGCAAGCTGCCTTCATACAAATGCACGCAGCACTGCTGATGCTGTCACATTCTCTGACGATTAAAACATATGCTACGCCAACGCAGTCATATCACCGTCAGAGCCCTAAACATTGTCTAACAGGTAGGATCTGAATTTGGTGCGGTTGAAGTCATACGACAGGTACGCTTTTTCCATCACCATGTTCCACCTCTTGGCCGTGCGCAAACTGGTCAGCTTGTCCGATCCAAGACGCTATCGACAGTCACTCCATGAGTCCTGAGGCAAAGTGACGAGCATCTTTCCCGTTGGACCGCATGGGACCCGGCACCTTTGGAGCTTGCAATCCATGTAAAGGGCTCCTTCCCCTAACAATGGGGGCACCTAGAATAATATCTTGGGTCAGTTCAATTCAGCTTCAACTTGATTTAGTGGTGGCAGACTTGAGTTTCCATTTGATTTAGTATTGCTGGGAGATTTGGAATTGAGTTTCCTAATTGATTTGTACTTGGGCTTCCATCAATGGGGGGGAGGCACCAAGGCTTTATTCCGAGGGGCCCTGAAATAAAGTCAAATTGGGGGCCTGAAGTACCACCCCTTTTGTTGGTTTGATTGTGGCCATTTTGAAGCAAGAGCCATTTTGGTTGGGTTGCCCGGGGCGAGCGCTTGTCTTTATTCCAGGCGTTTTGGGCCACCCGCTTGTCTTCATTCCACATCCATTTACTAATGCTAGGTGGCATTACTCTGGGACATGCCTGAAGTTGAGATTCAACTCATTGACAAATCGATTGATTCACTGGACATGTTTTGTGTACTCAAAAACAATCAAGTCAACAAGGGGTTCCAAAGGGAACGCAAATCTGTTGTCCCAAGACAAAACGCCGTCTTACACAAGAAAGTGTCCTGTTCAGCAACGGTCTATGCTAGCAATATTATGCCTATTCTACCAACAGGACCAGCAAGAACAAAGCTGCGTGCTCTTTCATTGCCGGCCTGGCTGTGCAGCAGGAGATTGAAAGAATCCCTTGCGAGGCTTGTGAAGCTATAAAAATGCACCTCACTGCAAGCTTGAAAGAGCTAGTGTATGTCAGTTTATCAGGTCTGCGAACTGGACATAGTGCCACTGCCACTGGCCATGCTTAAATCCATCATAGAACTATCAGCAAGGCAGGTGACAGTACAGTACATTCCTTCCACTGTTCATCTGTTCTAGCTGCGCGCAAGGAGGAGTGCCCTTTCCGTTCTTTCCTATTCGATCACCAGCGGGAGGGAACGAAAGGTAACCTGAGAAAGCAAGCGAATGGCTGAGAGAAGGGTGCAGCATTTTCGTCCAAACCGCGAAGGAACAGGCCGGATCTCTTCACATACCCTACAAACCCAAAGACCTCCCTCACTTCAACGGTTCGGCTCAAACAAGCTCTAAGACCAAATCAATTTTGGCAAAGCCAACATAATGTTCAAAGGGGAACCCTTTTAAAGGGAACCCTCAAGAATTTGGACTGGTTTGTGTGGGGCTTGAACATCAAAGTCATGATCGCAAGAAAGTACAGCGAAATTATTCAGCCCCTTGTGGCTCTGACAGCTTTGACCTGATACAGCAAGAAGCGCCCCCCCCGTTTTGGTGGGCATTGGGCTGACTTCCTGTGTCTGATTCCCTGGTTTCTGGGTACTTAGCTTTGAAAGGGTGCGTTTTTTTCTCGGCTTGTGCGTCTTTTTAGAGGCGGATTTCGAGGATGTCTTTCTAAAATGGCACCAGGTATGTGGGCGTGTCTCAAAACAGGGACCACAAAAAATGGAATCTTCCCCTTAACCCCCCCCCCAAAAAACAAAAAACAACATGAAAAAACAAAAGAAAAAAGACAAAAAAACAACGACAACCTTCAAAAAGCACGTTCTCCTCCTCCCTCCCCGTCGCTCTACGTCGAGCCGAGCGGCTGCGGGTCAGCTGTGCGCTCGAAAAAGCGCTCGATCTCCGCCTGGCCGAAGCCAAGGCCATCACCCAGGTAGGCGCGCAAATCCTGGGAACTAGCGCCCATGTGGCCATGGGTCAAAATTAAAACACCAGACTGCCTTGGTTGACGTTGGAAGGGAAGCAAAACTTTAAATTTTAACAGGTAAGGATTTCCCACTAAACCACAATAAGCAAAAATGTAAAATGTTTCCCAACGACAACCATGCTGCAGGTTTTGGTCCATGTTTCCACTTACAAGGGTTCCAGTTGGGGTACCTATTCTTGACCCACATGTCTCAAAATGGACCAAGCTGGTTGGTTCGTGGTGGTACCAATTTGTACGGGCCGGGTCCATGGTCTTTCCTGGATTTCCACCGGTCTGAAATTGTCTCAGCTCCCTGGTGTCTCATTAACTTCCCCCCTCCAAATCATTCTCAGTAACCAAATTTGACCTCATGCCGAGGTGCCCCAAATGTTGGTCATATATCTTGAAACTGGCAAATATTTTGGACCCATGTCCAGGGCCTGAAATACTTTCCCCTGAAAAGTGCGGTTGGGACATGTGGCACTTGGAACTCACACTCCCTCTCTCTCACACTCCTTCCATTCTGTATCTGTGTGTCGTATATGAGGCAACGTAGCTTCAAACGTACTAGCGCTCAACCAGCGCAGCACAACCCATCCTGAACTGAGAGGTTGATATTTCCTTGCAAAGCCACTGCCGCAAGCTCTCACTCTGCACCACCTTTTGGTTTGTCCAAACTTTGCAGGATTTTCCTTCTTCGGGTTCTGTAACCCCCCAGGTCCTCCAAGCTCGCCATGCGGCGCCGCCGATCGTTCATCTGCTGGAAAACTCGCTGGACCTCCTCTTGGCTCGAGCGGTCCGATGCTCGTGCCTCGGTGGTGCACTAAATTCGCGAGGACGTCTGGAACAAAGCTGGTGTCAAGTAACATCCCAACCTGAGTCTCAATCAAAACTTGGTACAAAGATGGTGAACCCAGAACCATGTAAATAATTAGAAAGGCGGCCGCAACTATTTCCGGCTGGGACTGCCCCTTACTAACCTTCATCCACCCGGGTTTTGATTATGGCTCACCTGGAAAGCTGGATTTGGTCCTGAGAGGTTGCAGATGAATTCTCTCGCGCGAGAAGTGATGACCAAACGAAGCCAACGCGTGCTGTGTTCTGGGAGACACCTGGAGCCTCTTGATGTGGTGCAAACAACGTTTTATTTACCTGCAACCTGCTTAATTACCGTCTCAAGAAAGAGGAAGGGCAAAAAACAACAAACATATGAGAGAGAGAGAGAGAGAAAGGGGAGATAACGAGAAGCAAAAAAGAAACAAACAGAGAGAGAAGAAGAAGAAGAAGAAGAAGAAGAAGGAGAAGAACAAGAAGAAGAACATGAAGAAGAACAAGAAGGGGAAGAAGAAGAAGAGGAGGAGGAGGAAGAATAATAAGAAGAAGAAGAGCAGGAAGAAGACGAAGAAGAAGGCACCCCATTTTTGGGGTTGCTTCCAGGAAGCCATTCATCTGAGGGGTGTGAATGAAACAAACAAACAAACAAACAAACAAACAAACAAACAAACAAGAACGCACCCCATGTTTGGGTTGCTTCGAGAGCCGTTGATCTGAGGGTTGACAAAATGGGTTCCACCCTTTTCGGAAACCCACGCCCCAAGGCACAACCCCCACCCCCCGCCCCCCCTCACCCCCACTGGACGCGCTCAAGGCACCGTTGGAGGCAGAGTGGTGACCCGCTGGCGCCTTGGCCTTCGGGGTTCTGCCTCAGCGGAACGGCCCGCGTTTTTCACGGATCTGAGACCTCCTAAATGCCAAATGTGCCAATCAAACAAAAACCAGACCAAGCTGGGCAAAAAAGAAGCTGGGCGCCTTGGACACTAAAAGGCCTTCTCTGGCAAGACTCGCAGCGAGGGATGGAGACTCCCAAACTTCCGTTGGCTAGCAAAGAAAAAAAAACAACGGGATGTCGATCCTGGTAAACTCTGGTTTCTTGGCTTGTGCCTTTGGCTTTTGGAGCCTCTCCCCTTGTTGGCTAAGTGCCAGGCTTCAACCACAGGCGTGGTCTGTGCAGGAACCGCCGGTGCTTCGGCAGTCCAACGAGCCACATCCTCCGCATGGCGATTCCTGGGCGAGTCTGGCTGGGGCCTGCAACAGATTCTGCCAACACGACCTCCAGTTGCCATAATGCAGCTTTTCACACTTGGTCTGGCCAGTCACCTGCAGGCTTCACGCATGATGCAACGTTCGACGTTCGCCCCTCCTTGCAAATGGGAGTACATTTCAACAGGCGCGCTCGCTTCTAGGTACCCTACTACATGTGGGGCAACACCAGTCACCAAGCCATGATGTCTGGGTGGCAACACGCAGCAAAGAGACCAAAGCAAGAAGCACATGCCACGGGCAGCCGGAAATGCAGGCCAAGATTCAGATCGCAGCCATCTTTGACGGTAGCATCAGAGTCGCCAGAGCCTGACTCAGCATCCTCTGCCTCCTGAATCAACCGAGGCAGTTGGATCCACAAAAGGCCAAGATGGTTCTATGACCAGCCCAGCAACTACTTCCACTCCAGCCTGTTTGCCTCGCTCTCCTTTCAGGGTTTTACCCTGACATGGATTTACACTGAAAAATCGCCGCAAGAAAATAAAACCGCCTCCGCCGTGTGCTCGCTCGGCTCGTCTCGCACTGATGCCTGGCCAGCGAGGCTTCCCTTGAAGCCGGGATTGTCGGTCAGTCAGCAGCGGAGCTTTCTTTAAAACCTTTACAAGATGGTCGTGCCTCCTTGACTTTCGCGGTTGCCCCAGTCTCTGTTGGCACAGTGTAATATAGGACTATACATAGGAAAGCTGTGGGAATATGTCAGCCAACTCGGAAAGCAGGCTGTGTATGCCATCAGTCACTAAGAAATGGTGCAAGGGTAGAACCATTCTCTATTCTGCAAGGCTCAAGTTCCTTCAGCCTTTTTCCTCGTCGGAGCGCTTCTAGCTTACATCCGCCCACGAGAATCTGCGAAAGTAACTAAACAAGAATTGCATCACATTGTTTGCACCTCTATGTGCAATCTACCAAAAAAACACGTCTTGCCCACCAAGGACCTCTAAGTGCCGTCTACCGGGAGAAAAACATGGGGAACACATGTCAACGTCAGGTGATGGCATGCCCAATGCAAAGCGCCTGGGACGTCATGGCGGGAGGCCTGCCTGGAGCATCCTGGGTCAAAGTGACTTTTGCTTCAGAGGTGGAGCCCACAGCCCGTTACGCCCAAATCAAGAGACTGGTAGGGTGCAACTGTCTCACTTGGAGTTGGCTCCCTAGGTGGTTTGACGTGGAGAGATTGACTCCAAAAGGCTCCAGGGTGACACCGTCTGGTGCGAAGGGGTAGGCCCCTGGCTGAAGATGTGGCGGCAGCTCCCTGCAAAACAGAAGCAGGAGGCACCTCAAGGGAGACATCTTGCCAATGCAACATCTTACATCCACATCATGGGTTGCCTTACTCAGGCAAACCTCGCCAATGGCATCTGAAAGCTTGGCTCGTGGATTGAAACCGGGCTTAAACAATGGCCTCTCTCAAGCTGGAGCCATCATTTGTGATACCCCGAATTGGAAAACCTGCACACTTGCGCATCTATGTGCATAGACCCCAAATCGCCTCCACAGCAGCTGCCTCTTCCTTGGCCTTCGACACAGCATCGCTTGCTCGGCCAGCACCATCCTGGACAGACTTAGCGGAATCCTGGTATCGCAGCAGGGCTGCTATTGCAGATTTGGAGATTTCCTCCTTGTCGACATGTTGTTGGGCAGAACAGCAAACAAGGGGCGAAGAAACAAAACTAGCTATACTTGCCCAAGTTCTGACCAGATTTAAAGACTCGTCCACACAACCACTGGCTGCCTTGTATCACCCAACCACCTCACTAAGGGATTGGCTGAACAAACTTGGAAAAGAAACAAGTTCCTTTATCGCTCACGCTCTTTGAACTAATTGTACATTTCTATGCTTCTACAACAATCAGACAGAGTCGCCATAAGGCGAGACTTGAAACACATTGTTCCGCAACAGGGACCTCTGCACATGACACGATGCGTGACACACTGCACACACACACACACAAAGACATCAGCACCTGCGTTTCGTCGATTGCACCAAAGCGTCTGGCTGGATTTCGTTTTGCTGAGGTTCCTTCATGCTCTTTAGAGGCTGATCCACACACTGAAACAAGACCCTTCCTGGAGCATGCTTTTGCAATGGGATCGATGAAAGCACTGGAGCATTTGCGTGCATAGACCCCAAATCGCCTCCACAGCAGCTACCTCTTCCTTGGCCTTTGCCACAGCATTGCTTGCTTGGCCAGCAGCATCCTGGACGGGACCAGCGGAATCACAGTCTCACAGCAAGGCTGTTGTTGGAGATTTGGAGATTTCCCCTTTGCCGAGAACAAGCAAAACTAGCTATACTTGTCCCTGTCCTCACCCCATTTGAAGACTTGTCCACACAACCACCGACTGAAATGGAACAACATCCCCGGCCGCCTCACTACGGCACTGCTTAAACAAACTTGGAAAAGACACAAGTCACACAGCGCATTCCACTAAGAACTCATTTTCTGTCACGCTCTTGAAATTCACTTTAGGTCCCCAAAACAGACAACGCTGTCTTGGCAAGGCAAGACTTGAAACACAGCGTTCCGAAATAGAGCCTTTGCACATGACATGATGCGTGACTATGTTGAGGTTCTTTCCTGCTCTTTCGAGTCTGTATCAAAAACCCACAAAACACTGACCGAAGCTTGCCTTTCCACTACCTGGATCCCCCAAATCGCCTCCACAGCAGCTGCCTCTTCCTTGGCCTTTGCCACAGCCTGGCTTGCTCGGCCAGCACCATCCTGGACGGAACCAGCGGAATCACAGTATCGCAGCAAGGCTGCTGTTGGAGATTTGGGAGATTTCCTCTTAGTCGACAAGTTGTTGGGCAGAACACCAAGCAAGGTGCGAACAAGCAAACTTAGCTATACTTGTCCCAGTTCTCACCCCATTTGAAGACTTGTCCACACAACCACTGGCTGCCTTGTAACAACACCCGACCGCTGCGCTAAGGCATCGGTTGAACAAGCTTGACAAACACGCACAAGTGACGCAGTATTCCACGAAGCTCTGCTTCTTCCGTCAGGCTCTCTGAACTAATATCTAAGCTTCCGAAACAAACAAACACAGTCGCGACAACGCGTGACACACTGCACACACACACACAAAGACATCAGCACCTGCGTTCCGGCACCAAAGTGTAAGGTTGGTTTTGCTGAGGTTCCTTCATGCCCTGCTTCAAAAATTGAAACAAATCACCTCCCGGAGCCTGTTTTTGCAATACCTGGATCGATGAAAGCTCTGCATTTACATTCATGAAGCCCAAATCGCCTCCACAGCAGCTGCCTCTTCCTTGTCCTTTGTGACAGCCTCGCTTGCTCGGCCAGCACCATCCTGGACGGAAGCAGCGGAATCACAGTATCGCAGCAAGGCTGCTGTTGGAGATTTGGGAGATTTCCTCTTAGCCGACAAGTTGTTGCTCAGAACACCAAACAAGGCGAGAACAAGCAAAACTAGTTATGCTTGTCCCAGTTCTCACCCGATTTGCAGACTTGTCCACACAACCACTGACTGCCTTGCAACAACAGCCCCAGACGCCTCACTAGGAATCGGTGAACAAAATTGAAAAAGACACAAGTGACACAGCGCATTCCACTAAGCACTTCTTTATCGGTCACGATAAAGGAAATAATCTCTAAGCTTCCAACACATACAAATACAGTCGCTATAAGGCGAGACTTGAAACACATCGTTCCGCAACAGGGACCTCTGGACATGACATGATGCGTGACACACTGTGCACCCACACACACACAAACAGAAATCAGAAACACCCTCCATCGACTGCACCAAAGCGTCTGGCTGGACTTGGTTTTGTTTAGATTCCTTCATGCCCTTCAGAGGCTGGCTAAAAAAAACAACAACATCTGGCGCATTTGCGTTCATAGACCCCAAATCGCCTCGACAGCAGCTACCTCTTCTTTGGCTTTCGCCACAGCATCGCTTGCTTGGCCAGCACTATCCTGGACGGGACCAGCGGCATCACAGTATCACGGCAAGGCTGCTATTCTACTCGGAGATCTGACAATCCCTGCTGACAAAATGTTGGTCCAGGAAGGGGGCGAGCAAACACAACTCGCAATGCTTGTCTAAGTTCTCAGCCTATTGCAAGACTTGGCCACACAAACACCGACTGACTTGGAACAACATCCCCGGCCGCCTCATTGAGGCATTGGTTGATCAAACTTGGAGAAGACAGACGGTCACACTGATTGAATCAATCTCTAAGCTTCCGAAACAGTCAAACAGAGTCGCGATAAGGCGAGACTTGAAATCACAGCGTGCCGCATACTGTGCACACACACACACACAAAGACATCAGCACTTGCGTTCCGACGATTGCACCAACGTGTCTGGCTGGATTTGGTTTGTTGGGTTCCTTTTTGCCTTTTTGAGCCTGGTTCAAAACTGAAACAAGACACCTCCCGGAGCCTGCTTCAGCAATACCTGGATCGATGAAAGCTCTGGTGCACATTCGTGCATAGACCCCAAATCGCCTCCACAGCAGCTACCTCTTCCTTGGCCTTTGCCACAGCATTGCTTGCTTGGCCAGCAGCATCCTGGACGGGACCAGCGGAATCACAGTATCACAGCAAGGCTGCTGTTGGAGATTTGCAGATTTCCCCTTTGCCGACAAGTTGTTGGGCAGAACACCTAACAAGGCGAGAACAAGCAAAACTAGCTATACCTGTCCCAGTTTTCACCTGATTTGCAGACTTGTCCACACAACCATTGACTGCCTTGAAACAACACTTGACGCCTCATTCAGGCATTGCTTAAACAAACTTGGAAAAGACACAAGTGACACAGCGCATTCCACTACTCTTTGAATTAATCTCCAAGCTTCCCAAACATACAAACACAGTCGTGAAAAGGCAAACCAGTCGTGAAAAGGCAAGACTGAAAATACAGCGTGCCGCAACAGGGACCTCTGCACATGACATGATGCATGACACACTGCGCACCCACACAAACAGAAATCAGAAACTGCATTCCATTGGATTTAGTTTTGGTGGGTTTCCTTTATGCCTCTTCGAGGCTGCTTCAAAAACTGAAACAAATCACTTCCCGGCGCCTGTTTTTGCAATACCTGGATCGCTGAAAGCTCTGCATTTACATTTATGAAGCCCAAATCGCCTCCACAGCAGCTGCCTCTTCCTTGGCCTTTGTCACAGCCTCGCTTGCTCGGCCAGCACCATCCTGGACGGAAGCAGCGGAATCACAGTATCGCAGCAAGGCTGCTGTTGGAGATTTGGAGATGTCCCCTTTGCCGACAAGTTGCCCAAGACTTGGCCCCACAACCACTGACTGACGTGGATTAACTTGGAAAAAAACACAAGTGTCACCTCGCATTCCCATGAGCACTCATTTTCTGCCACGCTCTTGGCAATAATCTCTAAGCTTCAGAAGCAAACGCAGAGGTGGTAAGAAGACCTGAAACTCGGGCCGCCTCAATGAGGCATTGGTTGAACAAACTCGGCAAAGACAAACAAACACAGCGCATTGCACGAAGCACTCATTGTCTGTCACACTCTTTGAACTAATCTCCAAGCCTCCAAAACAAACAATCACAGTCGTTGGTAAGGCAAGACTGGAAACACCGCAACAGGGACCTCTGCGCATGACATGACCCGTGGCACACTGAGCACCTACATTCCATCAACTGCACCAACGCGTCTGGCTGAATTCGGCTTTGTTGAGGTTCCTTTAAAACCAAAACAAAACACTTCCTGGAGCCTGCTTTTGCACGCCTGGATCGGTGAAAGCTCCGCACTGGCGCATTTGCGTTCATAACCCCCCAATCGCCTCCACGGCAACTGGCTCTTCCTTGGCCTTCACCGCAGCCTCGACTGCTTGGCCAGCACCGGCCTGAACAGAAACACAGCGAACGACCCGGGAGAACCACCATGTTGACAAACTTCAATGGTACAATAGCAACCAAGTAGCCAACCTTTACAAACAAGCACGTAGCCCCTGGCAATGCAGGGACACTTCAAGTTGCTCCCCAGGCGCAACATGCTTCCAAATCAATCCCCTCAGTCCAAGTTGCATCCTGTTTTGAGATCTGGCTCTGCTGCCTGCCCCTTGAACAAAGTTCGGGAGACCTGAAGCTGACAAATCCCTGCAATGATTCGCCCTTGCACGGCGTTGTGTGAAGGTAAGTGGAAACTCTTAGAACTGTTGCGTTGCTCGGAATCCTACGGCTGTCGGTCTGTCTCAAAATTTCAAAATGGCGCTCAAACCGGGGACAGTACCACCCCCCCCAAAAAAAAAGAAGGTGTTCGTTTGGTCTCCCCGGCACGACCCCAACAAGGGTGGCATAAAACAAAAACAAGCCAGTCCTCACGCGGAGAATCTGGCCCAGCTCGCCCGGCCACCTGGCGTGAGAGGAACACCGACGCGAGTGTCCAACAGTGGCACTGAGTGCCAGCAGCTGGCGACAAGTTCAAACAGGACGTGTATAGATCACGTCGTTGTGAGAGGGCGTGAATTGTGGATATGTATGCTGTGACTTGACGCCATTTGTGAGATGGCAGTGGAAAAACATGATAAGAGAGTGTGCTGCTCATATCGTACTTGCGAATTGAATTCCTGGATCTGCAACATAACGTAGCCGGCAATCAATCTGCCTGGGCCCCGCAACATGCGAATCAATTCTCAGACAAGAAAACCTCTCTCCCACCAGGTCACGAGGAACAAAGGTCCTTGTGCCGGGCTCCAGTTTGGTTTCACGTGGATGAAGGGACACCAATTGCACGTCCTTACTCGAAACGTGGATCCCAAAACCCACGTCGAAACCACCATCTGAGCACCCTGGACATCCGCCTCGGCTGGTGCAGGACCGCAAAAGATTGGTGGTCGGAAGGGAGAGCCAGCATCCCAGGCCGGCCTCGGAATCTGGGAGAGGGCCCTCTAGCAACTCAGGTGCTCTCCCATTGCGAGCTGTTTTCGGTGTTGACTTAGGGAAACCTACCATGACATGTCCTGGCCCTTTGGCCCATGGCCGCCATTTACCTGAACTGTCTCTTCTCAGCGCCTAAAGGTAAAACATGGCGCAGCGTTCCTGCACTTGGCGGATTCGGAGTTTGGCCACCCTGAAATCGCGCAAATTGAAGCAAGAGACAAGCGCAGCAAGACAGAAGGTGGAGTGGTGATCTCAGCCTGCTTGGTCACCTTGGCTGCGAAATGTAGCAGCATGCCTTCCATGCCCTCCATAAGCAAGCCCGTAACCTGTAATTTTACTCGCCGTCTTTGCGTCAAAGTTGCAGAGCTGACGGCAGACACCAGCTCTCCGCTTTCGTTGCTACCTCAGCTTCAACCGTGGCCAGTGTGAATGATCCAAAACGGCAGCTCAAGTGCGTGACTCTGTGCTGTGTGGTACGTATGCATCGCCCCTCACTTCGTCGTGCAGCTCAGGCATTGCATGACTGAGACAAGCAGATACAGAGAGAACATTACAAAACATATGCAAGAACAAGTGCAATGTGGCACAAACACACCAATCTAGTTTGCTGCATGCCTCCCGGGCAAACCACATATCGTGCAGGACACTGGCAAAAGAACCAAAGTGGGGCGCCCCAAACACGGAGTCACAAACGCCTGAAGCCACAACTTCGACTTGGCAAAACCCTAACAGGACAGGGTCGCAGCCTACATAACAGGCAACATCCTTCAATGACAGTGTCAAACCTTGAACCAACACCTCCATTTGCTCGTGCCCTGGAAAGAAGTATAGAAATAATGTGCATGAATGCAGAAGTGAAAGCGATTCCCTGGTAGAACCAACAATGAACACTAAGCAAACAAAGGGTCTGTCGATTGTTGAGGGTTCCTTTATGTGGTTTGCAAGGGCACTTTGGGGGGTTACAACCAGACACACCCACATTTATGGAAGAAAAAGGCTGCCGGAATCTCCCATGCATCCAGATGGCTGCTCCGTTGTAGCTCAGGCTCTGGTAGCTCCAGCTTCGGCTCAGGCTTCGGTATCCGTGGCAGGGCCCCCAGGGGAAGAGCCCTGGGCCCTCAGATACAGATCTCGTCTGTTTTTTTTTTTTTGCTTTTTTACCGTTTGTTCAAGGACTTTTCGGCTGACCCGCGATTTCAGGATAGTTACTCACGTTAACTGCCTGCAACTGGCTTTTGTCGAACATTTCAGGGTGGGTGGTGCACGGGTGCGCTTGCCTTGTGCAGAGGTGCTTGCCATGTTTGTGGGCAGTTGATGTGAGTCAAGAGCCACATCAGGTGAACATTTCGATTTACGCACTCTTCTGGGCGTCTAGTCCAACAACGCCCGCGCCAAAGCGATTTGGGTGGGGGGCACAGCTCACTGAGAAGAAGCTAACATTTGTGCGTGCAGCTACAGGTGACTTCATAGGGTGCGGTTCAGCAAATTGTCTGCCCGCCTTGGGCCCAAACATGCCTGAGGTTTCATGATGGCTTCGAGTGGAGTGTTGGAACGCCAGCGCTGACCAATCGCTCCAATGATGCAACCATAAGGTCGTTCCTTCACAGCAGCCCACGGCCTCATTATTTCAATAACCTTTTCCCATTTGATTTGCGCTTTCTCTCAGCCTCGACTTTTGAAGATCCAAATTGGTCGACCAAGCTGAAGCTCTCCACAAACCCGTGCCTCCGCTTTCAGTTGGCCCCGGAGTCGGCGCTTTTGGCAGACTGGCGGGTGGCCCGGGCAGGCTTCCCGGCATGGCTCGGCCATGGCACGTCACAAAAGACGCATCCCAACAAGTTCACCTAGTCACCTAGTCCCCCCAGGACATCCGCTGATGTCGGCGTCTAGCTGTAATTTCCTGTCCTTCAGACGGAGCAAACTCCAACGTTCCTGTATGAAATGACTTGACCCCCAGCCTGCTAGCTGACTTGCTACAGGCAAACGACAAAGTCATGCCTAAGTCACTCCTTTGTCTCTGTGACCATGTGTTCCCCCATGTAAACGCCGATTCCAAGAAGTCACTCCTAAGTCACACCTCGGCAACAATCCCCATGGAACGCTTGACATCACCGAGCTGATCATGCTAAAAAAACACAGGTGTCAACACTAAAACACACTGGAACGCAAATGATGGAAAAGCATGTTTTTCAGCCCCGCGAGGCTTCTACAGGAACATGAAAACCATTGGAGCGCAATGGACACGATCAGTTGTGGCAGGAGAGTTTGGGATCACGTAGATATGCCTCAGAGGCAGTGCAGCGCCAGCCTGCCCATGCTGTTTCTCCCGCGGGTCGCTGTCACGGCTTCTTCGCCTTTGGCGGAGGCTTCGCAAAACGGAGCGACCTATTCTGCTGCCACGCGGTAAGCCATGCTCTTCTGGCAGACTTGGTGGCAAGTTGATTCGTCTTGATGATGGCTTTCTGGAACACGTGATACAGCGGGTTGCCTTTACCAGTTCGCTTCCGCAGCTCTGACGTGACGAAAAACCGGGCGGTGTCCTGCACGGTCTTTTGCAAGCATATACGCGACAAACCCTTCAGGATCGCTCAGATCGTACTCTGCCTTGTCCTCCTCCCCCTGCTCATCTGGCTTCTCTGCACTAGCCTGAGCACTTGAAGTAGCTGGAGCTACGTCACCTGGGGCCGCGCCATCACTGCCTGCTGCTGCATTGGCCTGGCCCTTGTTGCTGCGAAGCTTTTTGAAGAGCTCACCCACACCTTGCGCCAGCTCTTTCTCCTTGTCTGTTTCCGGCACCACCGAAAGCCAGTCTGGAGCCTTCTTCCAACCAGAGCGCTTCCCCTCGCGCAGGGAAGCTTCCTTTTCATTGTAATTCTCGTTCTGCTTGCCACACGATGCGCAAAATCTGTCAGCTACACTCACCTTGCCCTGGCATCCTTCGCCACACTTCATTTTCTGAGGGCTGATCTGCTGCACCAGAGTCAAGGCGGAAGCGCCTTTGCTTCTGGGAGTGCCAGCTGACCAAGCTGCGTGGCTGTGAAACAGCTCGGCTGCCCGTTCTTGCAGGACAACTCCCCGTTGCAAGCGCTTGCCGGCAACCCACCCGCAATGCGCCCAGCCTGCACGCGCGTGCGTGTCATTCAGCCCCTCAAGCACACACCTGCGAATCCCGGCCAAGGCTGTGTGTATATTCAGGCTGCCTTGCTGGCGAACCCAGGCGTTCTTGAACCCAGACCAAAGCTTGCTCATCGCTGCGTGCGGACTGCAGTCCAACGCGCAGCATGCTGCGTAGCTGGGCAGGACGTAAATCCACACGTTACTTCTATTCTATGGGCAAGGAGAGTCCAGGTGAGAGGAATTGCAAGGTGAGAACTTGAACCAGCTCAAGATTGCAAAACACACTGTGAACGCTCCCTAGCGAATAAGATAGGACATGCCTAAACCCCCCTAAACCCAACGGAGTAACAATTTTCAACCGCAATGCCTCCCAAAAGCCTATCTCTTCAAACATGTTGAGTTCCTATGCGTTTTGAAAAAAGGCACGACTTCTTCGAAACCCTCTTCCCCATGAAATTTCAGCAACGCCTCAACCGGAGGCACGACTTTGTCAAATCCCTGTAACATGTCAAGCTTGAGGCTAGCGGCGATCACTGCGAGGCACTCTGCACTCTGTGTTCAAAACGCAGCAGTGGCTCAACCTTCCCCGACTATGGCCGCGGGTGCATAACTCAAAGCTTGCGAGTGTCCTGAGCTGCCTTGCTAAACGGCCTGCCTGTGGTTCTCACTCGATTCCAATTTTCGCCATGGCAACCTCTCACTTCGGCTCGCTCAGGGCGGTCTTGCGCTTGACCACGTGGATGTAGACCTTGCCAGGTTGGAGCAGGGCTTGTGGACGCAGCTCGAAGCGCTTTGGATGGAGAGGTTGCTGATCAAAGGGCACGCAAAGGGGATGATATCCCTCAACTGACCTCGCTGCCAGCCAAGTACCAAGGATGCACTTGTATTCCATGTTTCACCCTGTTTAAGCGTTGTGCACAGGGGTTTCCCAGCCTGGTTCTAGTGAGGTTAATCTGTGATCTGCGGTTAAAGCAAGATGAACTGTTCAGGAGGAGGACCCATCCGTGAGCTCTGTGAACCTCGCGTGAAACACGGGATTGGGCCAACAAAAAAGGGACCCTTGTTAGCATGACTTGGCAAACCTGGGGTGAAGGCTTCGAGTGTCTCGAGTCAACACGCTTGAAAAAAAGGGGCACAGGACACCAGCTCCGGCATCCCCACAAAAAGGGTTCCCATGCATTTCGAAGCCCCTTTTGGATAGGGATACCAAGGGAAAGCCAAAACCATGGTAGGGAGCAAAAGATCTTGACACACACACACACACATTGACCCAAGAGTCAAAAGCTGTCTGCTTTTGGACATTACCCATTAGAGGTTCTATTTTTCTCAGCGAAACCAAAACCACCAAGTTGAGGGTGTCACCCAGTTTTAAGACCCGCACCTCTTCAAGCCCGCAGGGGTCGAAGTCCTTCTCCTCGTCTAGCTGCTCCACCTGAGCTCTGGGCCATCTTTGGGACCTCATGAAAACGGGGGA